AAAAAAAAAAAAGATGTCATCGAAATCGAATATATTTTCATCTACATCTTACTCGTATATCGTTAAATCTATTATCTGATTATGATCGGTGTTTATTAAATCAATACTTAATTCTCGTTACATAATTGACGCAGTGCGGTTTATTTCGTTTTGGTTATGATCTTTGGTTACTAAATCAACGTCCTCTTATATACCATAATCAACCGAAGAAAAATTTGTCCGAACAACACGGTTTGGCCGTAATTGCTCATTCTACTTATTACGTCAGCTCTCGCGCTACTTTAGGCAGATACGTGACACAAGGTCCATGTTGTGCGATTAATAATTGCATTCCATTTACAACGTATCGAGTCAGCCAAACTAAGAATAAGTACAACTCGTAACAAACAGTGCGATAACAAAACCGTGAAATCATCTTCTAACTCGGAAGAATGTTATGAGAATATTATCTGTTTGTTCCAATTCGTTCGCCTTTCCCGCGTAAGAGCGATTATACACTTGAATAGGTTTTATCCATCTATTTGTCTCGTGTTGATGTTCCGCAACAAAAGTACAAATGCATTTCACTGCGAACGACTCTTCTGCAAGTAGGAGGAGTAGCCACCTCCCACGTGGACTTAACAGTTTTAACGGGCCCTGCTCCCAACTTTGACGAATAAGGCCAGACAACTCGCCCACGTTCCACGTTTACGCGCCGACTTTGAACGCTTTTCGAACCATGCGCACGTTCATTCTATTGTTACTTCCCGATGATCTACTTGATGGGCGAGTTAAGAAAAGGTCGCGTTGTTAAATCCTTTTCTCCTCCCTCCCTCCCTCTCTCTCTCTCTCTCTCTCTTCTCCTAGATTATAAATTTTAAAAATAAAAGTTGTGAGTGTTAGATACATGGATGATCAAATTTTCGCTGATGCGCATCGAAAGCAAATTTTGTTAACCTTTTCGTTTAAAAGTAGTCGAGTCGAGGAATCTTTGTTTGGAGTAGAAGATTAAGATAAAGTTCAAGTTCTTTCGATTCTTATCTATGTCAAGTAATACATGTCGCATTCCGCGATACGTTTAATCAATTTTCGAAAAATAGCATAGAATCAATTA